AGGATGAGCCCCAAAAAGGGAGGCATAGGCTTGATTGATCCAAACAAAGATTCTCTACCAAAAATTCAGGACAGATTAAAATAATGTGACAGGTCATGCTTGGGATCCAAGGTCAGTTTATGGTACTTATTTAATCCATAGTATTGGAGAATACAGTGAACCCTCGTTTATTGCGGTTAATCGGTTCTAGACCCTACCGTGATAAATGAAATTCCGCAAAGTAGGATTCCTTATTTGTAAATCAAATATTTTCGTAGTTAGAGCATAGAGAACATGAAAAAACACATTTTAGTCACCATTACACTTGTATTACCCAATTTATTAAACGAAAAAGGGAAAATACAGTAAAACATTTTGGACGTTACAATAATCATTTATTATTTATTATATTATTTATGGCATCAAGCGTGTACAGTATGAGCCGATCAGTGCCAGTAATGACAGAGCATGCGCTGTTACGCAAAAACCGCGATAGAGTGAAGCCGCGGAAGTCAAAGCGCGAAGTGGCGAGGGTTCACTGTATATATTTTTAATTTTGAAAAAAAATTAAGTTTAAAATCAAAGCGTATAATTACATAGTGGTGTGCTCATGCTTCACCCCTACCCACCCCCAGAATTTTAAATGATTGCATGTTAATCTGAGTAAAAAGTTTGTCTTAAAAAATGGTTTAGCTATCGGGGATAGGCACAGGTGCAGACATTAGCACAATATCTGAAAGAACCATCAGTAATAAAAATACAACTTGTTCAGTGATTACTCTTGTTAGACTCTGTGCTTTGCATATACTATCATGCAGACCTCAGAATAGTCCTATGAGGATGGTGATGATCTGACTGTGACCCTGTAGGACAATAGCACTGACCCCCAGGGTTTCTGTGGTTGTAATTTTTACAGGCACTTATGGCTGGGTGTTTTCTCCTGCAGAACCACTGGTGGGTTCCAGCTCTCCACCGTTCGATAGCAAGCTGGGTGCTTCACTATTGCACCACCAGGGTTCCTTCCTAAGATCGCCCCTGTTTTAAAGATGAGGGGATTGAATTACAGATTCAATCATTAACAAAAGTTGCAAGGCACATTAAGAGCTTGAATCCAGAAATTCTGGCTCCAGAGTCGGTACTCTGAATGTCTCTGTTACCCTCCCTTTATGAGAGACCTACACTTGTTCCAGAATATCTAAATACTGACTGGAATGCGAGCGATGAGTTTCTCATACTTGAATCTATCCAAAATATTTGGACTACTGCTAGGGAGAGGTGTTGTAAAGGAAATAAGTCCTGTTAGTGGTTCCTGGATGCCAGTCCACAGACCCACTGCCAGATTCACCCAGGGAGCTAAAAACCACAAAGTCCAAGACCCAAACCTAGAGGTTCTGATTCACTGGCTCTGAGGTGGGAACCCAGGAACCTAAATTATAAAAAGCTCTCCAGGTAGTTGTGATACTCAACCTGGTTTGTAAACTCTGCACTTTGTGGGTTTTTAATCCCCATGTACATTTTCTAGACCCTATGGTAAATAGAAACTCTGGGGATTGGGACCTATTGGAAGAATGCTTTTAGGTAGGTCAGTACCTTTAAGGCCTTTTGAACATGTTAGCATTGTCTATTTTTGTTTCCAGAAAGGTAATAGTTGCTCGTAAATGCATGCTGATTTGAATAATTACGATCTCTGTTGTCTAATATTCTCCCCTTTCCAAATCTCCATCATATGCTCTATCAATTTGAAGCTGATCTTTGTCCAAAGTACAAGTGTGTATTGAAAATGTGCTAGTTGTGAGTTACAGCCCCAAAAAATACAGTCCCTTTGCTTAAGGGACTCATAGATGAGATGAGGCTGACTGTGTAACAGTACAGAGCAGCAAACACCAGGGCCAGATGAGTAGTGGAGGTGGCGAGGACTATGGGGGTCAGGGGAAGCCATTCAGAATTCAGAAGTGTACCCCGGATCCATTAGGGAAGCAGATCCACGCCCTGGAAGGAGGGGGGCCTCGGCTCAGAGAAACTGCATGAAGAAGGAATTGCAGGTCAGAGTGCCAGGCACTGTGTGAGGACACCATGTTCCCAGTGCCCTCCCCAAGGGAGCTGCTCATTCTCCCATAGCATCTACATCTTCAGGCGGAATAAGTCCTTCTGTTTCTAGATTCTTCCACCCTTGCTGCCTTGATAGTGTTGGGGAGGGGAGTGAGGTAATGCATCACTATTGCCACAGGTGATCTATTCCACTTCTGAGCCTGTCAGGTCTTTCATTTCTTCCTACAAGAACCTTCTCACTTAATTTACACTGCTACTCCAGTTCTAAAAGTCCACCTCCAATTCTGTGGTCGGCCAGACTGCTCCTCTGAGAATCAGGCTCAGACCCAGCACTCTGACCATGGTTTCTCGGTTCTTCCACCTCCAGCTCTTTTTCCTGAACAGTTCCTTCTCAGAGATCCCTCTTCTCTTTCCCTGTCTTTGGGGCCTCTGTCTAGACATGCCTTTCCATTCTAGATTCCTATTGGTCTCCCTGCCCTGTCTGGTTTTCTTTTTTTTTCTTTTTTTTTTAGGGATAGCACGAAGGAGTTCTCCTATTCTTACGCTATGTTGGTACTCATGTAGCAGGCTGTGCTTTCCGTAGGGTAACATATAGTATATTTTATGCATAGTTGGTGTTGTGCTCTGCCAGACTAAGGTCCATGAAGGCATAGACTGTGCTCAGTAGATATTGTTGAGTAGATGCAAATGCAGACCTCTAGTCTAAAAAGTGCTTCTAAACTCAGGAGCAAAGAAGCTGGGGAGTAAAGGGGTGACAAGATAAGCGACGAGGTGGTATTAGAACAAATGAGAGGAGGCTGCAAGCCTTATTTAATTTTTATTTTTGTTTTTCTTATAAAAAGGACAGTTCTCCAGGTCAGATCCTTCATCTGGGGACAGTATCTCTAGAGGTTTCTTTGCAGTTACCTTGATTCAATGAAGAGATAAAAATTTAATTTTTTAAATGTATGAGGAAATGTATTTAAAGGAAAAGTATACATGAATAATAACATGATATGTATTAGAAGAAAGTCAGAATGTAACAATAGAGTTAATGAAGTATGGAAAATAATGACTTAGATGAGCTCACCGCCCAAATCTCACTGCCAGCGAGTCCGTTATGACTCATAGTGACCCTCTTGGACAAAGTAGAACAGCTCCTGTGGTTTTCCAAGGATGGAAACCTTTAGGAACAGAAAGTCTCATCTTTGTCCCACTAAGTGGATGGTGGGTTCAGACCTCTGCCTTTGCAGTTGGCAGCCCAGTTCGTAATCCAGTGTGCCACCAGCCTACCTACCCAAGTCCTGACAAAGTGAACGCGGGCAGGAAAAAACAACCTGGAGCACTTTTCCAGCACTCATAACATCACCATTGAAAACCACTCGTCTAGAATCATGTCCTCCAATTGTTTATCGTAGAGTGAAAAGGAACTTTGGAATTTACACATGTGCCTAGTTTATGACAGTCATTCAACAAATATTATTCTACCTACTATCCCCTCTCTTTTAAAAAGAGAGACTAGGTTCTCCTACTAGTTTAATTTATAGCCTTGTTTTAAGGAACAAGTCACGGTGAACGAAACAGGCTAGATCATAGCGTTTCTAAAATTCTCCCCAGTGCTCAAAATCTTTGTTCCCTTCAGTGTCACTTCCGTGGGGTTTGGGAAAAACTGGAGCTAGACGTGTGCTCAATTTATCATGTATAACCACCAAAGTCTGAAGTTCTTTGCTTTATTCTAAACAGTCCACCCTTAAAATTTTAAAGACTTAGAGAATTATTTATTGTCCTCAGTCAAGCATCCGTTCAAGTACTAATGAAAACCAAATGACATTTACAACTTACTGTAATTGAGACTTTGAGGAATTTAATGAGAAAGTATAATGATCCATTGCTTTTTATCTTCTGTGATCAAGTTGCCTTCACGTAAGTCTAAGGGAGAGTAATTGTCATTTCCAAAACTAATTGTCTTGGGTCTTTACTAGAAATAAAATTAGGCATTTCATCCCGTGCTTTATTGAAGTAGAAATTGAAGTTTTCCTGTGAGAGTCCGTGATTTAAAAGTGGAATCAAATTACCAGGAGGATGGTCATAATCCTATAAACAGGCTGGGGACGGTGTTTGCGTTTCATTCATGACGTTTTGCTCCTCCTTTCAGTTGCCTGACACTCTTCCCCTGCACTCTTGTATCTGCATTCCCACCAGCTAGATAGTTGACATATCAGTTCCTCCCACAACTAGTCTTACAGACTTTGAACTGGAAAGTAGGTATGCTTATAAACTGTTAAATATATACAGTATTTTGTCACTTGGTATTGAAGAAACTATTAAAGCAAAATTACTTTGATTAACATCCTTGCCAAGAGGGAGGTTCTGTAGCCTTGAGAGTCAATAATTCTATTTGTGAATTGCAATAAGTGCAATTTCCTTTCTAGTGTTTAAAAAAAATCTCAAATATTCCTACATTATATATATCTATCCACTTGAATTACTCACATTTTGAACTTCATGGTTATGATTATGAGGTACCAGTTGATTTACATTATTGATATAACAACAGATGGTAATGGTACAGGTTGAAATAAAAGATCATTAAGCTAAATATTTTAGCCGGAATTGGCTCCTGGCTGCATGGGATTTGTCAGAGTGAAATAGAATCATAGCATTTCGGAACTAGAAGAGCCCTTAGAGATGGTCTCATCCCATCCCTCACTTGACAGAGGAGAAAGCAGAAGCCCAGAGAGGATGCGACTTGCCAAGGTTATACAGCTTGTTAGTAGCAGAGAGAGGAACAGAATCTAGCCTGCCATTTTCTGATTCTGTGTTCTTTCTCCTATCTCTCCGAGATTCCAGTTAGGGTTCTCTTTCTCACTCCCTGATGTCAGCATCAATTACCCTCATCAGTTTCACATCCGTTCATTTGTAGAACATACACACTTTCACCCCATTATGAGTGTTGGTCAGTTAAACTTTATGTCTGCCTCTCTTCTAGGTTGGACTCTTCACATCTTCCAGTGTTGAAGACTTCAAAGTACACCTGGATCTACCAATTTTTCAGAAGACCGCAGTGTTTTTTCCATTTTCCCATGAAGCCACACTGTTGCTTTTTCCCTCTACTCATGAGTGTTATTGTGCCAGCTACTTTTGTGTGGGGAGATGCAGACTTCCACCAAAGGGCCCCACTGGAAGCAAACCACACTTCTTCCAATGCATCGTTTCTCCCAGGCTTTGAACTCTCAGCAGGTTCCAACTCGGGCGATGATGTCATCATAGCCAAAGAGGGGGCTAGTGTGTCAATCGAGTGTCTTCTCACAGTCAGCCACCATGAAAACGTCCGTTGGTACAACTCACGAGGACAGCGACTGGATGACAGAGGCAGAGGTGACTGAATTTTTGTTGTTGTTGTTGTTGTTTGCCAACAAGTCAATTCCAACTCACAGCAACTATACGACAGAGCTCCACCCCAGAGTTTGTGAGACTGATTTGTTCAAGGGAGCAGATCACCTACTCTTTTCTCCAAGAGTGGCTGGTTGGCTCAAAGCAAGCACCTGCTAGCAGCTGAGCTCTTAGCTGTTGCAGCATCCGGGCTCCTTGAGGTCAGTGTGCCAGAGGATGGTTAGTCAGGCTCGTTCATCTCCTGCTAGCACTGTCTTCTTGACTTTAGGGTACACTCCATAAGAAACCTCACAGAGGTGCCCAAGGGCATAGTTCAAAGTCTTAGTGTCCAGCCTCCTTAACCAGTAGAAGACAAATGCTAAGAATGGTTGTAAATACAAAGGTGTGTTCATGATGACTGGAAGCTGTTTCACTCCTCCTGCCGAGTTGGTTTCCTTCTCACTGGAGGTAGAATGCACCTAGCTGGCTGCATACAGCATGCAGGCCATGCACAGCTCACTCCCAGAGCTCCTGCCACTAGTTAAGGATGAGTGTGCAGTGTGGTGGCCCTACGAAAAGACAGCACGAGGCAAGTGGGGTAGACGTAAGTAAATGTGTTTGGTTTTTCACTCTGACATGAGTTTTTATGAATGTTGGAGAAATTCCAGGATGTATTTTAAATGAGAGTAGATCCATGCAGGAAACTTGGAGCCTCCCTGAGAATCAAAAGAACATTGAGGAGGAATTCTGTAAACCCTTTTCACTGTATGGGCTAGGTATTGGGCTGCCAACTCAAGGCTGGTGGTTCAAAACCGTCAGCCACTCCACAGTAGGCAATAAAGCTGTCTGTGCTTGTGAAGATTTATAGTCTCCGAAACCGGATCAGGAATCGTCCTGACTCGGAATCAACTGTATTCTTGAGTCTACCATAATTCCTTTGAAAAAATTTCTCTTGCTGCATTTTGGTCTCTCAATCTTCAAATCACCAAAACATAATTGATGTGTCCAAGGTCTCCTTTTTCACACGTTTCTATTTGGCCATGCTTCTGGGGGCCTACGAGCACATCTTGACCCACACGATTTTGTTACCAGCTTTTTGTAAGAAAGATACGTTTGATGAGCACTTCTGAGACAAAAGACTCACAGAAGTCACCATGAAAAGCCAGTGAGAGCAGATTAAATTCTGCGTTCCCTCCAAGCTGCACTTTCAGAAATGGCCCCATGTCACTTTTTGTTAGAAATGTCATCGAACCCTTTGAGATATAAAGGGTATTTAATTGTTGTTGTTTTTAAGGATGGAAAACAAAAAAGGACGCAGATGGCTTTTCCTTTGGAAACATATACTGAACATTTTAGCCATCTACAAACAATATATGTCACCAGGAGATAGAAGAGTCTGAATTCCTTAGAACAGAGTAAGATTTACTGTGAACTGGCCTAAGCTTAAGTAAACCCAGAATAAAGAAAACCAAGATCTCTCTAAAGCTCAGTTGAAATACTAAAGGTTGATTTAGTCTGATCTTTGCTATGAAGTCCAAAATGGGTCCTTCTGAAATGTAGACATGATTATTGAGCACTTGAAAGGTTGTTAGTCCAAATTGAGATATGCAGTTAATGTAAGATATAAACTGGATTCAATCAAAGCTTTAGCATAGCGAAAAGATATGAAAAACTCATTGATAATCTTTTAATATTGGCTACTTTTGAATATTGGGTTAAGTAACATTGAAAGTAATTCTACCTATTTTTGTTTTCTCTAAACATGCTTAGAAGGTTTTATTAACTGTGTGACATGATTGGGTACTTCCATTTTATTTCTGATGGACAGCACTATTTTAGAATATCACCTCCTCTCTTTTCTGTAAAACCAGTTAAGGTGAGTCTGAATTTTTGGCCTTTGAGACAATCCCTGGCAAGAGTGCTCCAAAGCATGACTTCTCAGCTTGTGACTTTTATGATTGAGACAGTGCTTAAGAAGTATCCGTCACAATGCAGAGCTCCAGTCCCCCCACTGAAGTTTCCAATTGAAGAACCTGTATTTACAAGGAGCTTCAAAAATGGAAAGAAAATATAATGGAATTTTTTCCACAAACTTTATGTAGCCCCGTCGTATAGCAAGCACTCAGGAGAACTCCAAGGCAGCTGATTTTTAATGCCACTCTGAAAAATACTCCTGCAAAGAAATAGCACTGCAATGATGATGAGTCTCCTCTTCCATCACTTCTCAGTGAACCTACAAACTGGCTGTCAAAGCAGTTTGAAATGTGAACCAAACTTGCCCTCCCCTAGCCCATACATGAAGTCATTCTTTCCCTTCACTCACTCACCAGATGCAGAACTATTTTAAGGTGCCTGGCTGTCACAAATAGTTCAAACCTGGCTACTAAGCTAAAGGTTGGGGGTCTGAACTCACCCAGTAGTGCCTTAGAAGAAGGGCCAGGCCATCCACCTCCATCACCAGTGCAGCCAAGACAATCCTGGGGTCTAGTTCTACTCTGTGGGGTGGCGCTGAGTTGTATGGACTCAATAGCAATTGATCTGTGGGCCAATAATGCCCCCTTGTTTCTTCCTCATCTCGCCCAGACCTGTTCACACATCGTTCCTTTTCACATATCCATTCACCCTGTTTTAGTATACTGTGTTCTAGTCTGCTTTTTCACACCTATGCTATTGTGGTAACGTATGAAATGGATTATCAAAGACCAGGGTAGATCAGAGGTTCCCGTCAACTAGTTAAAAATATGGACATCTTAAATCAGAGTCTACTGTTAATGCCCACAGTGTATATTTTGAGCATGATTTAGGGTTCCACATTTGGAACCCACAGAACTAAACTTTTATTTCATTGGCTCTAGAACATCTAAACATAGCTTAAGATTTGAATTATCCAATCAATGTGATCAGTATAAACAGCTGGTAAATAAACAAAACCACAGGTTAGGACAAGAGCAACCATGTGGAATGCAGTTTCATTTTTCCTGTTTTGCTTCTCCTTTGAAAAGCACTAACATTTATCACTGATGCTGTCAGCAGCAGCTCTGGGGGGAAATTGTATTAAATGTTATGACTCTAGTGAGAGGAGTTTAAAGAGCATGTCAGGCTAGTGTGAGGTTCATAAATCGTATCAGCAAGTGAGCAAGAGCGTTTAGATAGTGACTGTCGTGCAGTGACTGATAATGGAGTCTGTAGTTCATAATACTTGGATTCGTAGGATATCCTTTTCACAGCTTCCAGTTCGTAGAACAGGAGCATAAGGAATAATATTCATACTCCATATTTCCTTTCTGCATTAGTGAAGTGATGGTTCTTAAAAATAAAGGGTTTGGATAAATTTGATAAGAATATAAATGGCCACCATGCAGAGTGATTATTGATGTGTGTGCCTCTAAAATAATCTAGACCTTAGAATTAAAAAGTCCTTAAAGATTAGATACATGGACAGGGCTTCACAAGCAGTCACACAGTCTCCCTGGGACACCAGCTGTTCTCATTGGAGCTCACCCACACCCTAGATCAGGGGTCCTCAAGCTTTTTAAACTGGGGGCCAGTTCACTGTCCCTCAGACCCATTGGAGGGCTGGACTACAGTTTAAAAAAAACTATGAACAAATTCCTATGCACGCTGCACATATGTTATTTTGAAGTAAAAAAAAATGAGGCGAAAACACCCGGTGGGCCGGATAAATGTGCGTGGCGGGCCACATGTGGCCCGTGGGCCGTAGTTTGAGGACCCTTGCCCTAGATAGTCCATCTGTCCTCTCTTTGAATGGCTGTAATAGTACTTTGGGCATTTACCACAAAGGTAAGCATTGTGCCAAAAATTGCCAAGCTGGTAAAGGATGTTGTGTCAAGGAGGGGGCCCAGGGCACTTCGCTGTTTATACACGTGTTCGCTTTGCTGTGTGTGTTTCGTGAATGAAGATGCCTTTGGGTATAGGAGAGAGGCAGCATGTCTTGGGTTTTAAGCAGCAACATAGCTATCATAAGGTTAACTTTATTCTCTTTGTCAAGCTATTCCTTACCCTGACTTCTGAGACACATCTTTTGGCTTTTGGTCAATTAACTCTTGCCAGAAAGTCAAGATTGTTATCAACAAATCTCTATCAAAGCAAACTAACCTGTAAGGCATGCCAAGTTAGCCAGTTAATAATTGAAATGTTAAATTGCTAAATTAAAAAGAAATTGCTTTCATTTCTTGTTTTATAAGATTTTTTTATGGAAAGTTAAGGAACACACTTGAATAAAAAGAAGAAAATTAAAATTACTCCAAACATGTCCCCCCAGAAATAACCAATTGATTTTGATTTTTGATGCACATCTTGCTAGTGTTTGCAAGTGTATAGGTAGAGATGGTGGTATAGATATACACACAAACATATACACGTCTTTTAAAAGATTAGCCATTCACTGTTATCTTCTCTGAAAGGATTTTTATTCTATGGCAGTGAACAGGAAGCTGTGATAATCCTCAGTGCCAAAAAGAAAGCTTGGTTTACTTTTAAGTTTCAGGCCAAGTAAATTATAATAACAGTTGAGTTAAAGTACTTGCGTGGAATAATCGGCATTAGTAACAATACTCCTGTTGTAATTTTTGTGAATTTTCTGTTGCATTATCAGGTGGAAAATGGTTGGTTTCTGATAACTTCCTGAATATCACCAGCATAGCCTTTGATGACCGTGGGCTCTACACCTGTTTTGTCACCTCTCCGACCCATGCCTCCTACTCTGTCACCCTCCGTGTTATCTTCACCTCCGGAGACATGAGCATCTACTACATGATTGTTTGCCTGATTGCCTTTACAATCACTCTCATCTTGAATGTCACGCGGCTATGCATGATGAGTAGCCATCTTCGCAAGACTGAGAAGGCCATCAATGAGTTCTTCAGAACGGAAGGGGCTGAGAAACTTCAGAAGGCCTTTGAGATTGCGAAACGCATCCCCATCATCACCTCAGCCAAGACTCTGGAGCTTGCCAAAGTCACCCAGTTTAAGACCATGGAGTTTGCTCGTTACATCGAAGAACTGGCGAGAAGTGTCCCTCTGCCACCTCTCATTCTGAACTGCCGAGCTTTTGTGGAGGAGATGTTTGAAGCCGTGCGAGTGGATGACCCTGATGACATGGGGGAAAGAATTAAAGAGAGGCCCGCCTTGGACGCTCAGGGTGCCATCTATGTCATCAACCCAGAGATGGGGCGGAGTAACTCCCCAGAAGGAGATTCGGATGACGGCTCTCTGAGTGAGCAAGGCCAAGAGATAGCGGTTCAGGTCTCTGTCCACCTTCAGTCAGAGACGAAAAGTATTGGGACTGATTCTCAAGACAGCAGCCATATCAGTCCTTCTGACGACATAGCATCTGCCGAATTGAACTCAAACTACAAAGAGGAAGCATATGAAACCTGCCAGCTGTGAACAGTGCCAATTTCTACAAACGAGATCTCAGAAAATGACCTTATTTCTAGGAGGGGAAAAACGTTTTTACCAAAAGACAAATGGAGTTTTCCCCATTCAGCACTTCAGGACACGAAATGCCAAAATCATTGTGAAAGTGCAGCATTTTTCTAATCCAATATCTCAGTGAAGCCTGAGTAAATGATACGCATTCAGAGTTCCATGAGGCTGAGGGGGAAACATGAGAGGAAAACTACCCTGTCCTGTCTCGTCTTGAGTCTTCCATCGGTTAGGTCGGACAGTCCTCCTGACGCCTCAGTCAAACGAGGACTGTGCATTAGGTGGCATCTAAGGTTGTTTCTGACACTGACTTCTTCAAGAAAACCACCCTGAGACTTGTTGTCCCCTATGATTGAAAGGACCAAGCTGTTCGGAGTAATTTAGGTATCCACATCCACACTATAAAACATAGATGTGCGGTGGCTTTTAGCTGTGCTGCCTTAGGGAGCATATGGCTGTTTGTTCAGACATCAGAGAGCTAACCCTGTTAGTAAACTACTTTCCATGAGTGAATTGGTCCTTTGGCAGGGGAATATCCTGTCTTTTTAACCTAAGGAGGCATCATTTCATTCAGTGAAGTTGTCAGTGATTTTCTCATTTGGCAAAGTGAACGGTGTCTTCAGTCACTTTAGAATAAGAAGCGTTGTCGCCTGGTCTGTTTATGAATCATGGATCTTGGCATGTCAGTTACCACAATTTCTCAGGCTTTGCCTTTTTTTTTAAGTACTGTGTTTGGGAGGCCATCCCAGAGAAAAGCTCAGGTGTGGGTCCCTCTTTAATCCCCTGTGTACATTCTAGCCCTCCGAGGTCTTAAACTTGGTGCTCAAGCTTGTAGGCTCCTTGTGTTTCGTTTGTATTCAGTTACTTCAGGTAGGTTTTATTATTTTGTACTTTCGTTTCAGGCTTCTGGGGTCGGGCTGCTTCTGTGGCATTTCTGAGAAGTCGCTCCCTGAAATAAGATTAGATAATGGTATGTGGCATGCTAACCCGTTGTTACCAGGTAGATTCTGACTCCTCATGACCCAGAGAAGGGTAAAACTGCCCCCCAAGGGTTTCCAAGGCTTTTAATCCTTTTGTAAGCGAACGACCACATCTTTCTCCTACAGAGCAGGCTGGTAAGTTCAAGATGCCCAGCCTATGGTTAGCAGACAGCCACCACCTTCTAAACATAACGCGAAATCATGGCTGATGCCATTTGGTTCAGCTGTATGTAATAAACACTTGAGACAGCGTTTCTTGCCTGCCTGAGATCTGACATCACATAACTGTAAATTGTGCTTCAGAGTAATGTCTTCAGCTTTATGCCATCTAGTTTTGAGAACTTGGCAATGAAGCACCGTTTGAAAATGTCGTTTCATTTGGCTTCTGATCATTCAAGCATTACATGAATTAAAGGAGCCTGAGGGACGTATTAGGAAGAGATATTATCACGATTTTAATTTAAGGTTTCAAATGGAGGAAGGCGGAAATTCCCAGTGTGACCAAATAAAACTCAAGACTTTCTCCAGGGTTGTCAGAAAATAACCTGCTCTGCATAGAATGGATGTGAAGTTTTGTCAGTTGGCATTACAAGTATCTTAGTTATCCAGTGCTGCTATAACAGAAATACCATAACTTGGTAGCTTTAACAAACAAGAAGTGGCACAGTGGTTATGAGCTGGTCTGCTAACCACAAGGTCCAAAGTTCGAAACCACCAGGGGCTTCTACTCACGTGAAGAGTTAGGCTCAGAAATTCACAGGAGCATGTTTATCCTGTCCTATAGGACATCTATATGTCAGCATTGACTTGATGGCAGTGAGTTTGGTTTTTGAGTTTTTAACAAATTCATCCTCTCCTGGATCGCAGGTTAGAAGTCTGAATTTAGGCCACCAGCTCTAGAACCAGGCTTCCCCCTGTCAGCGCTGAGGCAGGTGCTAGGCTCTTCAGCTTAGTTCCTCGTTCCGTGGAGATACCCATGTGACTTGGCAGCAGCCTTCCAGCATGCTGCGTGCGTGCTAGCTTGGTTGTTTTGTCTTTCTTATGTTTCAAGAGAGATTGACTCAAAATACACCCAACACTAATCCTGCCTCATTAGCATAACAAAGATGCCCATTGCCAAACTGGATTATTAGCACAAACATAGAGGTTAGGATTTGCTGTACATATTGGAGGGTGGAGGGGTTACAAGGGGAGGTGACAAAATCCAATCCATAACATTGGATAAAGATGCTAATGCTGCCTTTTCTCTCTCAGGCTGTTTCCATAGAAACCTCCAGCGCCAAACAAAAGGTACCAATCATTTAGCCAAAGCTTGCCTTGGCTCATAGACCTGGGTTTCTTTAAGAAAACATGTTTCTATACGTTTGGCTGTGAGAGCAAGGGCTCTTGAATATACTTTGGCATATAGAATACGTCCATCAATATTTCTCTTTAAAATTTTAAATTAAATCCTTTGTCAGTATCCCCTGAATATCTCTCAGATCTTCAAATAGTACCTCCAATCCCATTTTATGATAGCCAGTTTGAAATCATTTCTTAGAATTTACCTTATCGCATTGCATTGTATAGTTTTACCCCTTATGTCCTCATAATGGGAATTTAGGATTCAGGACTCTAAGGTAGACATTTAATAATCAAAGTCATAAGAAACAGGATTTTTGAAAAAAAATAAAGGATATATTGAAAATAGTTTGCACAATACTCAATATTATAAGCTACTTTATATCCTGGGTAAATTTTAGAAACATAGTAACTGGTTTACTGTTGCTAGGTTATATAGATTATGGTGCCGTGCATACAGACGAGTAGGTCAAAAGTTAATCAGTTGGTATTTCTTTCTAAAGCTATTTCTAAAGAAGGAAGAAACCACGATTAATATTCTTTTTGTATCTAATCATATAGTCTTCATATATAACTAATAACTTATATTATCATTTTGTAATATTCTTAACCTTTTGAGCTTAAAATATAGTCTAAAACCTTTTAATAATGATGTGTAGTTATCCTTTTACAGTTAGTAAAGAATGCCTGTTTAAAAATGTACATAAAATAGTTCAGTCACCTCATTGAGATACATTTTATCTATATCTTGATTCAATGAACCTTACTATCTATGTGCAATGAAATGGTAGTTTTGTGAAATAAATATACCAAGAATTAACATTCTTATAGACAATCTCTATTGATTCCTTACCAGCTGAAATCAGATAGAAGGGCCTCTTTTGACGTGAGAACCCAGCTGCATCTGTTAGGTTAGCCGATTCTTGAGGAAGTCCTAGGAAGCATCCAATTTCCCACCAACTATCTAGATCAATATCTTGGGGGAGTTGCTGCCTGGAATGTGTGTGGTAAGAGGGCTCCTGGCTTTTTTTTTTTGTCTTCCTTCACTTGTATTTTAGTATCAGAGCAAACTCTGCTGCTGCACACTGCCATCCCTTCACTTTTCCAGCCACACTGAGCCCTTTCGCCAGCCTGCTCCATGCAGGGTTTCCACTTTCAACCTAGGTCAGCGTTTTGACTCCTGGGACCCAGAGCGGCACAGGAACACTAAGGCCTTGCTTTCTAGAGTTCAGCCGGTCACTGGCGCTGTACCAGCCGTTGTATTGGGAGGGTGTTGTATGTCCAGAGTCACTGGTGAGAAATCACAGTCTTTTCTTATTGAGGCTAGGGATGTTGAAGATACTCAGCCTAATACATAAACTCTTATATTGTCATTAACACATTTCATAAAAATGAATGAGGGTTGTTTGGTAGGGGCAGGTGGCATTTAAATATTCATCATTTTAATAAAGTCTCACATTGTAATGTCCCCTGGAAAAGAAGTGTCATACTTGAATGTAATAAATGTTCAATGATGTATTTTCTACTTGTTGGAAGTGTTCTGTAGAAGATGTATTTTTGTGTGGTAGAATTTGATGCTAATGATTTTAAACAATAGTAAACATGAATTTGACTTGGATTCCACCATGGCTGCTCATTTCAATTTCATAAATATTAAGCATCCAAATTTCTTTTTTAATGTGTAAGCCATGCTAAGATGAAGGCCCTTCCCACAATAAACCTGTAGTAATGGACTGTCCTCCTTCAGCTCCCTTCTCAAGTAAAACATTCCTGACAAAAGCAACAGACTGACAAGTGGCCTGGTGGTAGGAGAAACCAGCACATGCTTTGGAAAACATCTGCGTAATGTTTCCATTGTGAAATCGGACAGGTGTGGGGAGTGGCTGTGGTAGAAACGAAAGACTGCAGTTTCCTAGGGACTGAGGTCATGATGAGAAATAGGAAAAGCGCAGCATCTTGAAACAGAGGCAGAGATGCAGGTGAGAGGTGTGACCATGACTTGGAGACCACAGGCTCCTTAGAATGAACACCTAGACCCTGTCCCCTACAATTGCTGCATCAACGGGCTTGAGCATATCAGTAGCCATGAGGCTGAGACAGGACAAGACCACACTTCATCCTTTTGCCCATAAAGCTGCCTGCCACGAGCTGGGGCCAACTCACCAGCAACTAGCAACGTCCCAGGAACCAAGCACTGAACGTACAGGAACGATTGCACCACTAGTCATGAAAACGAATTTCTCTGGGCTTGAATAAAATGGAGCTGATCTCCCATCCAATTTTTCAACACAAACTTGGGTGACCTACCATGAGGAACACCAGAGGGTGTTCAGCCACTGAAGAAAACAAGTCCTATTAAAATAGTCACCATCTAAACCAACCCCACTGCCTTCAAGTCGATTCTAGCTCACAGTGACTCTGAGGCAGAGTAGAAGGCTTTATTTTTCCTAAAGCAAATTTTTCGTAGAAGCAGACTACCACATCTTCCATGGAGCAGCTGGTGGGTCCAAACCCCCCACTTTGTGGTGCAGTCCATCAAACTGCTGTGCCACCAGAGCTCCAAAATTAACATGAACATTAAACACAGCAACAATGTAAGCAAACGTGTAAGTGCTCTAAGCACTGTGACATGTAAGACTAATAACAACAGAGCCAGAGTTGTCATCTTTGTTAGCACTCATGTCCACCTGATGACTAGTTGCACTCATATTTGGGGAAACAGCCCAAGGGCCATGTCTGACCTCCTGCAGCCACAAAGGGGGAATGAGAGTCAAATGACATCCCAGCCCAAGAATGATTCTCATATGGCAGAGGTCAGACATCCCACCACCCTCCAACTTCCTTTACACTGACACCAACTGTCCCATAACACTCCTCTGTCCTAATCAGTAACAATGGTCCCATAGAACAAAGCCAATACGCATCATGAAGAATCAGTAGGGAAGCTAACATTAAAGTCACGATCAGAAACATTAAAGATATAATTCTTTTGCCCAGTACCTCTTCTCAGCTATGCTTGCAGCCACATCTCTGGTCCTCAGCCTCAGGCATGGAGCCCCTTGGCCATTCTCTGCTCAGGCAAGTGTTACAAAGCTGCTTTAGCTCCAATAAATGCCCAAAGGGCACTTCACTCTGCAAGCCAGCCTGCCGGAGGCACTCAACCTTACACCTTGGGCCTGGAAGCCCATTGCTCCATCATGTGGTCTCAGTGCTGCCCATCTGCCACCTCTCCACATGCTTCATTCCTGACTCTTCTTTCTTGGTGGTGGTGGGATTCTCTTCCTGCCTTAGAAATGGCTCACTTTATACCCAACAAATGGCAAAACTGACCAATCCTTGAGGTAAGAGTCCTGTATACTTTATTTACATGCTCTTACTGAGCCATAAGGTGGATGTTCAACTGTAGATAGAAAAACTATACCAAGCAATTTCATCACAAAAGCCAAGAAAAAAAAATTTTTTTTCCACATTTCTCTCAGAGTTGCATTTAGTTTCACGCCATAGAAGCCCAATTATGATGATAACCTAGTAAAGGGTTTATTTTTCTTAATGAACCACAAGTCAAGGCAGTTGTCAAGGACTCGTACTCCTTCAACATGCCTCTTCATCCTTAGGAGATGGCTCTCATCACCATGGGCACGAGGTGTCTTAGGTCGGCTTCTCCGGAAACAGTCCCTGTGACATGCAAGTCGTCTACCCAGAAGTAGTGGTAGACTAGTTGAGGAAGTGAGACAGGGAAGAGAAGCCAATATAGAAGGCATGAATAAGTTGCTGCTGTTCAACCCTGCTGGGGACCTCAGAGAGGTAGTATAGTTCATGTCTCAGAGATGTCCCACCTATAGGCCAAGGAGCTGGGCTATTTATCTACTAACCCTCCCCTGCCAATTGAGGTCTAGGATCATTTCCAGTATCTACATGTGGGCTGAGCATGCTCGTGCAGCCAACAAAAGCTCTCAGGGCAACACAAGCTGTCAGGGGCAGGCCTACAGTGAACATGGGAATGAGTGTCAAGGGATGTGGGCCAAGTGCTAACTGCTACAGGGGAGAACTCACCCTCCAGCATCTCGGCTTTGTTCCAGACAGCTAGGGACACTGGTCAAAGGGCAAAAGACACGCAGCAGCTGAGTCTTACCTTCGTATCAAGGAGTCCATAGCATTCTTGAACCTTCACCTGACTTCTGCTTCTCAGCGACCAGAACTAGGTTACCAGCTGTGGTTGTAAGAAAACCTGGGAGATTAACCAGGCATGTTGTCCCCAAGTTTGGGTTTTCTTTTTCAGAAAAGAATGAAAGCTCCAAACAACTGATCACAAACAGGAAGGTCATTTTCACAACTGATGGTTCCGTAGTGGGTACAATTGCAAACCATGCTCCTTGAAGATAATCACATGCAAGAATAAAGCATGAATCAGGAGCAGTAAATCTTCAGCTAGCTCTCCAAGCTGTCGCTTTTTTTGCCTCTAATGTACGTGGTACGGACAGCAGACAGACAAGGAATTCTGCTGGGGTATGATTGGTTTATCTTCACCTGCTTATTTGTTAACAGTTACTGACCACCTGCTGTGTGCCAAGTGCCCTGCAAGGAACCAGGGATACCCAGGGATAGAGACCGACTGGCAAGGGGGATCTTTACTTCCAGATCTCTCCGAGGATGGTGAAGACTGAGGCAAAGGCCTTGGGGGAGAACCAGGAAGGTCTGTTGGGGAAATGAAAGCCTGTGTGGTCGTGAGAGGAGACCTAGAAGCAGACGGGTCATTCCAATGGCTCAAATATTTAGAAGCAGATCTTGACTGGCCCCAGACATTTGGAAGAGAAAATTTATATACTGCAGGGAAATTTTGATCATACTGTTAGTTTTCCTCTGAAGTCAACTGAAACTGAGAAACAATTGTACTACTTTTCTTTAAGGAGTTACTCCTTCAGAGCCCTTCAACATCCAGTTCTCGAGTATTCATGTTTTTGCTGGAACCTATTGATTAGGAAATACATATGTAAATATGCATATGGCTCTCCATCTGCCTAAGGGATCCGAGACTGCTGCCAGCAGGCTTCTTCATGGCAGTTGGAAAACACTCTGCCCCGCCTCCTGCTCAGCTATGCAAAAGGGAGGGCCCAAGAGTCCTGAGAGATAATAAATCCGCCTCCAAGGAGCCTTCTTCTAAGAAAACACCACCCTTCAAGAGGTAGTTTGTCACTAAGCGGAAGAGAAATTCATCAGGAGGACCTCCTTCCATGTGGTGGTTTAGCCAAATCAATTCCAAAGGGCTTTCAGAAGTTTGGCCTTAGGCTACCCCTCTCCTAGTCCCCTCCACACACAGTTCTTGGCCCCTCACACACCAGGGCTGTGCCTATTCATCCAAGTTTTCACACCGACGGGATGAGCTACCCTGAGGAACACCAGAAGGTGGTCCTTGTGCTCTTTCAGGCAATGAAGAAGACAAGTCCTATGAAAATAGTCGCCACCAAAACCAGTCCCACAGCCATCACGTCAATTCTAGCTCGCAGTGGCACTATAGGGCAGAAAGCTGTGAATACTTTCCCAGAAGCAGACTGCCAGGTCTTCCATGGAGCACTGGGGTCCAAACCCCCAACCTTTGGGTGCAATCCAGCATTTTAACCACTGTGCCACCAAAGCTCCAAAACAGTCACCCAGAGGGTGTACATGTCATTAAAAGCCAAGACACGTCCTAGAGAAAATGGTTCTATGAGATCCTAGAACAAAAGAATCTGAAAAAGTGATCTTTGAAGCGAGTTGCTCATTCTGTTTAGAAGAAATTTATAAATGGAAAAATAATAAACCATCTGATAAACTGACAGTACAAACAAATGCTAAATGAGTTTGCACTAGAGAATAAAAAACCCCAAGCCAAAATCTACTGCCATTGAGGGGATTCTGGCTAATAAAGATGGTTTTCAGGGGCTATACATCTTTACAGGAGTAAAGAGCTGCATCTTTCCGAGTGACTGGCGGGTTTGAACTGCCAAATTTGTGGTTAACAGAAAGACTTAAAGAGGAAACGTGAGTGTGAGTAGAGAGGGCCAATACTTTGTGGACTGGGTGAGATTTGAGCTAATCACTAGTGAATAAATGAGAAAGAAAATTTGTGATTTAAAAATCTTTGATGGTACCCTGTTGCCTAGCCAGGACGATGAAAGGTAGGGGTGGCAGAATCCAATTCCTTGACCCTCCATATGTTCCCAGCCTGTTTTGCCAAATTTATCTTTTGAGCATCCCCTCTATTCTCTTGGGAAATTTAACATATCCTATGTTGTTATAATTCTACCTCTCTCCTTACCAACTGGTGGAATGTGAGCAACTTGAGGATGGTATCGTGTGCTAGCTACCCATCTTTGTAACTTCTTACTGCTTAGGGTCATGCTCTCTATATAACAACATATACCATTGTTTTCACTGCCATCGAGTCCATGCAAACCCCTTGTGGGTTTCTGAGATTGTCACTATTCACAGTCTTTCTCCTGTTTAATATATAGGAGAACCAAAATGTCTGTTAAATTTCATGGAAGAGGAGGGACAAAATTGTCTAGTATGTGGCCATGTTTCTTGGTCGATGTGGGAAGCTAGAGATGAGGGCTTCAGAAGTGTGGCTTCCCCAACATG